ATCGTGTAGTACGATACTCATGGTAGTAGAAACCATTAATATGTGGTATCCTGCTGAGATACTTTGTGTGGGGAACCTTGATATGGAAATAATCCTTCAGCCTCTTTCAAACCTGTAACTGTACTCTGCTTACTACGTTTCCTGTGTCTTCTGTGTATATCTCCTCCTGTACACATGCACCTCATTTGGACTGTAAAGGTGGAACGTTAATTTTCATTGTAAGTCCAAATATTTATTTTGTGTCTTTACTAAGGAGAACTGTAGCTACAGAAGACAGGAGAAAACAGATGAATTGGAAGGCATTAGTTGTCACTCCTAGAGCACAGTTAGAAGCATGATACGAAACGAATGGTTTATGTCTTTAAAACAAAGTATGCCATTAAGTGGGTAATGCTAAGAGGAATTTTACCTATCCTATAAATACGAGTGAATCTTTTCAACTTCAAATCCCAGTACGGAGACAATTTACAGTTGCAATCAAAATTATGCACACAATTTAACTTCAGCACCATCTGTAACTCTGCTGGTATTTTAATAACGAATAAAATTATGTCTTGGCAACAGAAATCCCATTTAAATAAAATACCTCTAAGTTCCAAGCAAGGTCTCCAAGAGGAAGCTACAAGAGCTCTGATTTATCCTGAAGTCGCCTTAATGTTTACTGCAGAACATATATGTCTACATTTTCAGGTTAGCTATAAAGAAGTTCTTTACTGTGAGGATGGTGAGGCACTGGAACAGCTTGCCCAAAGATGTGTTAAATGCTCCGTCCCTGGCCGCGTTCAAGGCCAGGTTGGACAGAGCCTTAGGTCACATGGTCTAGCGTGAGATGTCCCTGCCCATGGCAGTGGTGTTGGAACTAGATGATCTTAAGGTCCTTTCTAACCCTAACTATTCTATGATTCTATGATTTAAACAGTAGGCTGTGGACAAGAGGTCTGTGTGATTCTGTGAAGCCCTTCTTAACCTGCCTCTGAAGCTCAGGGTTTGCACAGGATGCCTGCCCTCATTGCACAACGTAGGACTGGTTCAGAGCTATGAGCAAGCTCTAATCCAGGCACTCTTTGCTGACATGCCAAGCTCTTGAAGAGGAGCACTTACAGGAGGCAGTTATCTTCCCTTAAAATAGCTTTTATTACTGATGATGTAGGAGGCATGTTACTTCATTACTGAGTTTGCCTTTTGGACTCCATTGTGCAACCTACCCACAACAGTTTCTGAGTTGTAATTTTCTTTTTCATCTTCTCAAATTCGTGTGTTTTGCAAAAAGAAGGCAATTTTTACTCTGTTGGCATGGGGTGCCATGTACCTGCACCTCCTCCGGTTGCATTATTGAGTGATTCTAGTCCTGCGTTCCTACTCTGGGTACTGCTCTCTGGTGGTATTTTAACTCTTTAATAGAGTAGCTGCAGCATAGACCACAGTCTTAACTGTGGCTTGCCAAATACTTTTCATTTGCAGTGATATGAGATCATTGGTATAAGTATGGTGCTACTTATCATATTGAAAATAGATCTTGGCTAACAATATACTACCATGTAGAAGTACTGCAAATTTCACAGTCAAAGATTTTCTGCACATTTGTCTCTGTGAGGGTACAGCACTACTAAAAGCTGTTCAAATCTGATCTATGGGAAATCTATGGAGCCTAGGGATTGGCAATCTTTTAACTGATCATATCCTCTTCATCAAAGCTTTCATTAAGGAAATATTACTGACCTTTCTGGATGGCTTTCACAGGCGGAAATCAATGTGTTTTGTCCCACTGTCTCTTTAAATGGACAAGTGAAACAGCAGCAGGATAGGTATGTTAACACATCTCAGTCATGGCTGGTACCAACCCTGGCCCTGTTCCAGGGATTGATCCTTTTCAAAGGACAGGGTGAAAAAAACATCAATGTGATCATGATAGATTTTGGGGGTTTATGAGTTTCTGAATATTTCAGTGTCCACTAATCAGAAATTGTTTAAATTTATATCAGTTGCTGCCACTGAACTTTATCTTAAGCTTGAGGAGAGTTATAAATTGGATCATACTGTGCCTACAAACACTGATGTAAAATATGTACCAGAAGAATAAATAAAGTTGTGCTGAATCTCTGTTTTCTATGCAAACTCAATTTTGATAATGTTAGCTGTGTTTCAGAAGCCTGCTATCATGTCCCACTACTCTGCTTTCGTGAGACCCCACTTGGAGTACTGTGTGCAGTTCTGGTGTCCAGAGGAGACCAGAGGATGGCCACAAGGATGATCAGGGAGCTGAGGCGCCTTCTGTATTAAGATAGGCTGAGAAAGTCGGGGCTGTTTGGCCTGGAGAAGAGAAGGCTGTGTGGAGACCTCATAGCAGCCTTCCAGTATCTGAAGGGTGCTGGAGAGGGACTCTTCATCAGGGACTGTAGTGATAGGACAAGGGGTAATGGGTTTAAAACTATAACAAGAGTTGTTCAGGTTAGATCTAAGGAAGAAGTTTTTTACTGTGAGGGTGGTGAGGCACTGGCACAGGTTGCCCAAAAAAGTGGTAAATGCTCCTTCCCTGGCAGTATTCAAGGCCAGGTTGGACAGAGCCTTGGGTGACATGGTCTAGTTTGAGGTGTCCCTGTCCATGGCAATGGGGTTGGAACTAGGTCATCTTAAGGTCTTTTCCAACCCTAACCTTTCTATGATTTTATGAAATCTTGTCTCTCTAGGACTTGGATATATTTTTCTAAGGTTTGTTTTTTTTTTTCATATTTGTCACAGGTGTTGAAGGCCATCAAGAAACATAGAGCTTTATCAGATATTTTGGCAAAAGGCCTTTTCTGAAGTTCACTAGTTTATGGAATATTAGCTAAAGCTATTATCTGGCATGTTTTAGAGGAGCCCGAGAGTTTTGGTGTCTAAATCTCACTTGGATGCTCTTGAAGTAATAGTTCTATTTCTTTTAAATTTTATATTTGTTTTAAATTTAAATACACAGGAAAAGAGATTTCATTGTATTTATTTAGAGGGCAATTAAAGCTACAAGGAAGGAGTAAAAAACAGTAAACCAAACAACTTCATAATAAGTTAGTTTCTCTATTTTTATTTTTTTTGATTCATCTAAAAATAAAAAGAATGAATAAAAATCAGAAAAATCAAGTTGCCTATAGGTAAATATTTTTTTCATTTCAAAAGCAACATTTCTGATGACAGTTCTAATATTGAACACAAAACTGTAAATGCTGTCCTTAATTGCCTATTTCTCAGAAGTTGGCACAGTCAAGGTCAGCACCCATTTCTCAAATGAAAGTGAACATCTGTATTTTTACATGATTTGCATGAAGAAGATGGCTTATACGTTCAATTAGACACTTTTTAAAATCTTTTTTTTGCTAATTATCAGGTCAGAAGTAAACATAGGAAAAAACAACTGTCTGGCAAATGTTTTTCTTTCTGAGTGTCCAGATGTTTTAAATGATTCTGTAGAGTAGAATTTTTTTTTTGTTAGAAAAAATGTTTTCAGTAGTCACTTAATGCAGTTGACATAAAGAAGGGGATTTTTTTGTTCTGACAGGCAAACTGCCAAGGCAAAAGGAGTAGTTTCAGAAACTAGGAGTCTGGGAGCACCTGCAATAAAGGTCTGTTTCTGTTACACCAAATGAGGGAGATAAAGTCTCTTGAAATGAGTGAGCTGGGATTATATGGTAAGAATTAAGATATATTGGTTTTGCTTTTGTTTTTTCAGTGGGTCTTCTCTGACCTTGCGCAAGCACAAAATGTTTCTTCCCTTTGTTGTCTGCAACCACCACAAAAGGAAATATGATAATAATAGCCTTTCTTAGAGAGTTTTATAATCTTGAGAGGTGTGTTGGGTGTTTTTTTAAATTCTGCCTTCTCAGGGAAGCAGGGTCTATGGGATGATTCTCACTGTTCGTTCACATCTTACCTTTTTGAGCCCTGTGGTCTATTTTGGCTACATTTTTTAAAGGTAGAACAATCTGAAATCTGTACAGCTTCTATGGGTAGTGTTTCTGACAAGGGACGCATATGCTGAATATGATCTGAATTGTTGTGCATGCTCTACCTGACCAATGCATCCTATGCACTTTACTATACTGCATATTTCTATATGTAGAAATTTCATTTGTCATATAAAAGCTGTGCCATGTCCTGCACAGTGCAGGACACTGGTGCCTGAGATCCTGCTAACCTGCAGGACTTTCTAGTAATTAGATCGTGTTTGCTTCATGGGAGATTCAATTAAAAATGAGAGGGTTTTATTATTCCCTTCTGAAATTCCTCACTATGTTTTTGAGTGTGTATATGACAGTGTTGTAATGAACAAACTTACATTACCAAATTCTATCCTTATTCAGACATTACGGGCTCAAAAATCCAACTTGGGTGTTAGGCTACCCCATCTGTCGTCAGATGAGGATGTGAAAGTAAGAGGGGAAGGACATAGCAGACTACTCATTTGAGCTAACAGAAGTAATTTGGCCATGTATGTCTGTGTGAGCTCGGGAAAGAAATTAAGGAAGGGTTCAGATTTTATAATTGCAGTGCAGCATAGGGCTCTTGTGAAGCTTGGTACATGCGTTTTACACGTTGCAAAAGGCCAGGTGGCATATCCCTGTGTTCCTGCTCTGTGGGGAGACTTTACTAAACATATTGCCTGGGGCATTCTCTAAAGTCTGCCAGATCATTACTATATTCTTCCAGTGGCTTTTCCAAGGAAAGTCACTACCCTCTAACTGGAGGGGAAATCATAAAATTTCATTCACTGAAAGGAAAACATTTTCCAGCTTTTCAAGTATTCAGTGACTTGTCAACAGCTCCCAATGTGTTGCCATCCCACCAGACTGGCATTCTGGAGGGTAAGTTTCAGTCTTGCATATAAATTCAAGCACAAGTGTGCCTTTCTCAAGTCTCTGTCTGCTAAGTCAAAACAAACACCACCTTGAAATAACACAAGTTAGCATATTTGTTGCTCATGTGATGACATCTATATGTTTTGTTTCTTGCCTTTTTTTTTTTTTTAGATAATTGTGATGATCCATTGGTATCTTCCTTACCTTCAACAGCCCTTACAAGTTCCACTGAGCTCTTCAGTACTCACAGTCCCAGCTTTGCAAAGCTCAACAGGAGAGATGGTAAGAATGCAGTATGAAATGCCTAAACTGTTCTTTTTAATCACTTTTACGAAGAATAACCTTTTATGCTGTTTGTCTGCAGTGCACTCAGAGTGAAGTTGAACAGAGACATTAATTTGTGCTTTTGAGAGAGCTCTGTTAAGGAGCAATTCCTTTCTTTGTTATAGAAAACTTCCATTAAATTTGAAACTCTCCACGTCTTTTGTACAAGCATGCTAAAGGAAGTTCACATAGTCTTTTTGCGCTCGAAGAGTTCCCATAATCTTTAAGACTTGAAGGTCATTAGGTTTGAGGCTATATTCTAAAATGTGGGTGTTTGTAATGTGTAAAAGCTAGTATCAACTAGATATTGAAGTTCCAGTGAAATTCAGTGATTACACAGTTCTCCAGATCTAGTGAAAATGAATGAAGAAAACTTTGCAGACGTTTGCAGTGAAGAATATTTAAGGCCCAGATAATGAGTTCACATACAATGTCAAACTTTCTAGGATCAAACTTTGTACTAGAAAAGAGAAGTTGGCAGTACCTGGGACGTCATTTGACACTGTGCTGCAAATTTATGTTGATGGCTCCCATCTTATTCCCAAGTTAGAGCCTCTGAAAGAGGAAAGCCCTGTATTACTACATTACATGTGAATTTAATGATAAGAAACAATAGAAAGTATACTACTAGAAAAGATATTTTAATTTGGAAAAAAAAAAAAGATAATTTACCTATTTAAACAATCCCTGAAATGTCTGTTTTAATCAGCAAAGCCAGCAAAAGACTCTCTCAGATACCTGGCACTAATGATAAGGAAGTTGCTAGGTCATTAGAAAAGTATTAAATGGAAATTACTATATCATATTTAAACCCCTGAACCAGAGTTCATCAGCAAGGAAAAAGTCATACAGTAGTTGTTCAACATTATGTAAGTTATCAATGTTGAGCCCTGTCTTTGTCTCCAACTGCTAGCTGGGACAGTAAGTAAACATGCTTATGTGATTTTGCAAATGTCTGTAATGACTCATTTTATCTGCAGGAAAGAGGAAGAGATTCAAAGTCAATATTACTGCAAGTCAAGCTCTAGCTTGACAATATCTATCTTACTACCCCGACTTTTGTAGAAATGCATGGATGTAGTGCCACCAGAATTAATATGGGTACCTGGTCCTGGGTTGGAGGAGCAATGGTAGATGGTGACTGAAGGAACTGGCATTGGAACGCAAACAGTAGATACAGTGCTGCAATTAACAGTGCCTCCAGGTAGAAACCCAGGTAAATATATTTGTTAATATAAATAGGAATGCAGCAAGTGAAGATGAATTTATAAAATACATTCCAGACCTATATCAATAGAAAGTTGTAATTCATCATGTTGATTCAGTAATAGGTAACATTAACAAGGCTGTTGTTTAGAAAAAGGCCTGCAAGGCCTGCAGCAGTGAAATGTGCCATAAACCATAAAATAAAACCAAACCAAAAAACCCCAAACAAACAAAGAAAACCCCTGATCTCCCCAAAACCAACCAACACACACCCCCCCCTCCCCCCCCAAAAAAACCACAGAACAATCAACGACAAAAAAAACCAAAACACACAAAAACCCCTAAAGGAGAAAAAAGGAAAAAAAGGCAAAAGAACCCCAAACCAACCCAAAACCCTACACACATTACCCATGAGTAAAGCTTTATGTGAACTGCTGAAAGCATTCAATTAAAATGATGAGAAATCTGTATGGCAATAGTAAAACAGTATAATTCTGATAAATATGATCCTGAGGTGTGAAATATATTACTTAGACAAGCGGGATTAACTGGCATTTTTGTTTACAGTAAATGATAATGAAAAATAATAAGAAAATTGCTACAATATGACTCTATAAACTAAGCTTTTTCATTTCTCTGTTAACTCTCAGCCTTAGCAGTCAGTACAGGCAACTATGTATGGGAATATAAAATGTATACAATGTTAAAAAGAATTTGTTTTATGGCCAGGAATTGTTTGATCTGGGCATTAAAGTAAAATTGTGCAGCAGGAAAGCACTTAGTTGCAGCAGGAAGTCTGAGAGTTTGTAGCACAATACAAAGCCGGTTGAGCTGTTTGTAAGGCACTATAGAGTGGGAACAGGCATTCCCTTTGCTTTGCATTAATAAACCAAAAATAAGTATGGGTATCCTGAGCAGCCCTGTGAAACATCAAGGACCACTGACTGCATAACACTTGGCTTCAGTGCAGTTTTTGGAACAGTTATGGCAAAATGTACAAATGGTCTGAAAAAGAAAAAAAATATTTGATCATATTTCTTGAAGTTATATGGATCTCCAACTGAGAAACCATCTGATCTTTATTCTTCTCATATTTCTAGCATTATGATTTGTTGCCATGGAGAATGAGCAATGTATCAGATACCTCTGGTAGTTTCTCCACTAGGGCATTTTATCCACATCATGTAGAACCTCTCCCCTGAAATGATCCACAGAAAATGCGAAATATATGAACCATGAGCAATGATGGCACATGGCAATGCACAGAATCCTGTCAATGCTAGTGGGAATCTAGTGGGAAGAAAGTGAAATTGTATGTCCCTCAGACATGATGTTGTAAAGGGCCAAATGTGTATTCACTTTACTGGGCATCTACTCTCTCTTTTGTCCTTGTGAGAAAGGCAATGTGGCATCTTCATGCATTAGTACTTTCCAGTTAACCTAAAATCAAATGTACAGATTTGTTGGGTGTAATCAGAGCCACATTTTGTCTGTTTTATGCTTATGCCACACTATTAATAAAAGATATGTGGTCCTGTTTACTTTTCTTGTGCTCAGGAAAAGAGTGTCAAGGTTATGCTTGTATCTGTTCAAAGGAGTTTGATGTCCTGTAAGTATTGTCTTAAGTAGCCTTCGCATCCTACATTCTTGTCTCTTGTCTTGGGCCTGCCCTGACAGATATTCCCCAGCATTAGCACAGCTCATGGGTAGAGAAGCAAATGGCTGTAAATGAGCTACTACACTCCAGATGTGCTTTTTTGCTACTTAATAAAAGAAGTATGTGGTGGGGTGTTGACACACTATAAAGAATCATGTGCATAAAAAAAACATGCAGATTGTGCTGAAAAAAGATGCCACTTGTGCCACCTATTCTGTATAACAGAGAAAATATGGAGGAAAAAGAATATTTCTTGATTTTTGGCACTCACAGCAGTATTTGGTGAGGATTTGAGATACCCTCAGAAGCAGGCAGAAGTTATGTGTTTGCTTTACTAGCAGAAATGAGAGAGGCCCAAAGGAAAAACTTTAGTTCTGTTCTCAGTCACAAAGACAATGCAGCTTTGCTGTTGCTGGGAATTTAACTGCCATTCTTAGAAGTCAGTAGAGTTACTGTCCATCTGTGGAAATGGTAATGGTGGAAGGTTTGGGAGGGGGAAATGCAGTGGGTTTTTACCCCCCATGGGAAGAGGTGTATGAAGCATCTGCAGTTCTGAAAAGACATGATCTGTCAGAGATAAGGTCTCTCTTGCAAGACCAGTGTCTGAAAAAGTGATACTATGAGCAGGTGTCACAGCTATGTCATGTAGTTCTCGTATCTAAAGAGTGACACTCCCAACAGACAGATGTGCTCATGTGAAGAGATAGGCAGTTCAGAAATGCCATGTAATCTGTGATTTCTGAGCTTAAACGCACTAGAGAGCTCTCAAATTTCCATTCAATGTGTATTGTTTGTTTGATTGACTTCAACAATATAAACCTGTTGTGCCATCTTCAAACTGGAAATTAAAAGTGCTTTGTAAAGCCAAATACTTTTGTGGAAAGCTTCTCACCTTTCTATCATTTCTGGCAGCAGAAGGGAGAGAGCATAAATTACATAGAATAGATGCTAGTTATGATGTTTAATGAATGACTGGAAAGTACCTGTGGTAATAAGCCTGGCTTAAGAACTTGGTTATAAACTAGTATAAGGAAAGCAAAAGTGTTTTTTGGTTTTGTTTGGGTTTTTTGTTTGTTTTTTTTAAATGGGAAATTCATCAAACAAATCACCTGTTATAAGTGATTTTCCTCCATCTCCCATCTCATTGTTGCTGTTTATGTTGCACAAAGACAATTAAGGAAAGATGAAAATGCCCGCATTTCTTTGAATATTTATGAAAACATCTATAACAAGCTCTGTGGAGCATTTAAGGGAACAACTTCATGCCACAGACCTGCCAGAATTTCTGAAGTTAATTTCTATGTCCCACCAGTTCCTGGCCTAAAACTGTAAACACGGCAACAGCTATTGTGTTCAGAGTCTATTGCAAATTGTAGAATTGGGTTTGGAAGAAGCATTCAAGGTATATAGCTCCAACCCCCCTGGTGTGGACAGCTACACTTTCCACTAGACTGGATGTTGGATGTTATAATCCAAAAGAAGTTTCTCCATTGGCTCTTGTGAATATTAGCCACAATTCCGTGTAGGAGAAATATGCAGCTTGTTGTCTTTGAACGGTTATATGGTTTGTTTCTTAAAAGCATGGCAGAAATATTCTTTATATGGAACATAAGACTGGGGGGGGGGGGGGGGGGGGGAGAGTGTGTGTAAGAATAAATGTTAGGATTTTTAACAGGAAGCTATAGTGAACTATATAAAACCATAGTTTTATATAAACTATATAGGTATGAAGTTAAAAGAGAGCTATGAAGTAGTGAGAGAAGAATCAAGTGAAGAAATTCCTAATGTTCTCAGTAGGTCTTTCATGTCATGCTCATATCTTAATGAAATGTAAAAAATTAAAATTCTGACACCTAATAGGCAAAGGAATTTCAGTTGAGAGTTATAAAATACAATGTCGTCCACAAAAATCAAGAATTTTTTTTAAAGGGTAAAGTTACTGAAATTGAGTTTTTTGATATAAACCACATTTATCGATCTTTCAACTCAGTTTACTCTGATAAACTGCTCATGGAGCATCTTTGAGATGGATCAGTTAATAAGATTAAAATATTAAAGTAAATCCAGATATTTATAATCAAAGTTTAGTAATTCTTTTTGTTTGGGGATGCATATTTAGAATCATAGTTTGCATGAGGAATTTTTAAGCTTTACATGAAGTGCAAGGTCCTACACCTGGGTTGGAGCAATCCCAGGCACAGCTGAAGATTGTGCAGAGAAGTGATTCAGGGCAGCCCTGCAGAGGAGGATTTGAGGGTGTTGATGGGTGAGAAACTGAACATGAGCCAGCAGTGTACGCTCACAGCCCGGAAAGCCAACCATATCCTGGCTGCATCAAAAGGAGCGTGACCAGCAGGTCAGAAGATATGATCCTACCCCTCTACTCTGCTCTCAGGAGACCTCACTTGGAGTACTGTGTACAGTTCCGGTGTCTTCAACATAAGAAGGAAATGGAGCCATTAGAGCAGGCCAGAGAGGGGCCGGAAGGATGATCAGGGGACTGGAGGACTTCCTATACAAAAACAGGCTGAGAAGCTTGGGACTGTTCAGCCTGGAGAAGAGAAGCTGTGTGGAGACCTCCTGGCAGCCTTCCAGTATCTGAAGGGGGGCCTACAAGGATGCCAGAGAGGGGTTTTTCATCAGGGACTGTAGCACTAGGACAGGTAATTAGTTTAAACAGGGGAAATTCGGGTAGATATAAGGAAGAAGTTCTTTACTGTGAGGGTGGTGAGGCACTGGAACAGGTTGCCAACAGAAGTGGTAAGTGCTCCATACCTGCAGTGTTCAAGGCCAGGTTGGACAGAGCCTTGAGTGACATGGTCTAGTTTGAGGTGTCCCTGTCCATGGCAGTGGGGTTGGAACTAGATGATCTTAAGGTCATTTCCAACCCTAACCATTGTATGATTCTATGAACTCTATTTCCCCCTTTCTCTCCCATTGTGATTGTGTTTGTTGTACAGAGAAGTGCTTTTGTAAACCTCACTAATAATGGCAGCACAAACAAGATGATGGGTTGCAGAAGGAATGACTGTGTGAAAATTTGCTGATTTGGAAAGTTTATTATGGCTTCCACGTTCTTCATAGCTCTGTTGTTCACATATTTCTAAGACTGTCCTGTAGTGACAGGACAGGGGTAATGGGATAAAACTTAAACAGGGGAAGTTTAGATTGGATATAAGGAGGAAATTCTTTACTGTTAGGGTGGTGAGGCACTGGAATAGGTTGCCCAGGGAGGTTGTGAATGCTCCGTCCCTGGTGGTGTTCAAGGCCAGGTTTGACAAAGCCTTGGCTGGCATGGTTTAGTGTGAGGTGTCCTTGCCCATGGCAGGGGGGTTGGAACTGGATGATCTTAAGGTCCTTTCCAACCCTAACTATTCTATGATTCTATGATTCTAAGACTGCAGTGAACTCTGGGTGTGTAGAGAGAATAAATGTATGCAAGTAGAAACAAGTTAAAAAAATAATCAGCCATAATTTAAGGGTGTAAAAAAAAGCAAGAGAACATTAAATAATATATCTCATTCTGGGAGGATTTGCATTTAGCTATAAACTCTCATTGACTGTAGTGAGTGAAGTGGTGAAATTCAAGCAGTGGTTGCAGTTGTGTATTTCATTGTCTTGGCATTACCATGAATCCGTTTAAGCTCTAAAAAACTCAAGGGATAGTATATATGTTTACTTTTAAGGGACAAACATGAGTTACAAGCTCTCAGTTTCCATGTGATCATCACTTCTGAAGTTTCCGTTCCTGAATGGTAAAGTAGGTCATGGAAGCAGATAAGTTGCAAGTTGCATTTATTCTTGTGGAGATCTTGTTTGTTCTTTTATTTAAGATAACATAAAAGTTCATTCAACAAGCATCTTGTGTAAGGCAAATGTTACTTTCTAGTCCTTTTTATCAAATGGTCCCTAGCTTTTCAACATACTGTTCGAAGTGCATTTACAACCTGTAATTAAAATTATTTTTCTTAAAAATTAAGAGGGCTCAAATCCCAGTAACTAACGTTTTTGCATGTCTTTCAAAATGCAGCAGTAAAGAAAATGTCAAAGCAAATAAGCGTGAAATTGGTAACCCCAGATTTGCACAAGCATGCAAAGAGAGGATAAATACATTTTTTTTTTTGTTGTGACTGATTATGTGCCAACCTCACTGGTGCTTGTCCAGCTGCCAAAGAATAAATTCCCTAAAATATCTAGAAATTCAAAATTCCTTATGAATTCAGGTTAATTAAGAAAACCTTAAGGAAGCACACCTTATGTAGCGTATTTTCTAATACAGATATACAAACAAACAGCTGTATGTTCAGAAAGTAAAATTCTCTGTGATGACCTGAAATAGTAATGTGGTTCTTTTCCAAGTGTAATTTCTTGTGCTGTCATTGTCATCTAAATTATCTTTAATCTGCTTCAGGAGCTGGTGGCTGGTCCCCGCTGGACTCAAATAAGCAGCAGTGGCTCCAGGTCGATCTGGGAGACAGAGTGGAGATTGTTGCAGTTGCTACGCAGGGCAGGTACGGGAGCTCAGACTGGGTAACCAGCTATACACTGATGTTCAGCGACACCGGCCGCAACTGGAAACAGTACAGACAAGACGACACCATCTGGGTAGGTCTGAATTGTGGATGTTGTTTGTCCCCAGATCTTCCTGGTTGGGCTTATTTTGGCATTTGGAGAAGCAGCTTTGGTTTCAGATCAGAGGAGTGATGTAGTGGTGAGAGAGCATGCTCTGCAGAGTGTTTTGATCTAAATGTGTTATGTTACTTACTGTCTATATAATACAAGTTTAGGCCCTCAAGACTACATTACTTTTCAGACTGAGGATGCTCAGGGCACTCAAAATGACCTACACGCTTCTGTGCCTGGTTGGCTTTGATTCAGGCACACCAGGGTAAACGGAGCTAATCACCTACATAGTTTCTTCAGGAAATATGAAAATTAACTCTGTGTCTTATGCAAGCTTGCTAGTCAGAACAACAGAGCTCATGCTGGGGGAGGTGGGTGGTAGATTGCTCCTCGGCTGGAGAAGGCTGGAGCTTCAGTGAGTTGTGGGATGATTTAGCAGATGCACTAAAAATGCTCAAGGCTTTTCCTAGAATTTTAATGCAGCCTTGATGCTTGCTGTGTCACAAGTTCAGCGTGTGACAGGTGCTGTGATTAGGACTGCTTGCAGTAGCAGTACCACCTCAGGTGTGGGTGGAGAGTTTAAAAGTCTTCCTTTTATATGGAAAATGTGAATTGTTAACAAATGTTAGCATCCTCTCTGTGCTATGTTCTGTAGTTCTGAGGGAAAAATAGCCCTAGTAGCATGACAGTATGTGGTGGTAAATGAAACGCATTCTTCATGAAAATTAAAGGAGACATTTTAAAAGTGACAAAATAGAGTTCTGGTTTTGTGTTAAATTTTTGTTTGGTTAACACCTTGGTTAAATACTGTGTTATGAAAGCAGATTATTCTTCCAGAACTTAATGACTGTGAATGAGGAGAGTTGTGCAGCTGGAAGAGGAAAAAAGGGCTGCTTGGCTTTCCTCCTGAACATTTTGCAGACAATCGGGGTGCTGTAGAGGGAGGTTAACTTTTGTCATTTTAAAATCCATTGCATTGACACTGTCTTTTTATCATGGTTTGATTTAGGGAAAGTGAATGAAATCCTTCTTCCTTTAGAAAGGCAACTTTGTCCTAAGGATGTGTCCTGGGTTCAGCAGTAGCAGTCATTTTTCTCCTTCTTGGTAGCTGGTGCAGTGCAGTGTTTTGACTTTCAGCTCGGGAACAGAGCTGATAACAAGGATGTTTTGGTTTGGCCAAGGACTTTGTGAGCCTCATGCTCTGCCAGGGAGGAGGGGAAGCCAGGAGGAAGCAGAGACAGGACACCTGACCCAAACTGACCAAAGAGGTATTCCATACCACAGCACGTCATGCCCAGGAGGTAACTGGGAGTTAGCTGGAAGGGCTGGGAGACTGCAGGGTTGGAGGAGGTATCGGTCAGAGCTTGGTCGGGCTGGGGGGGGGCGAGTTATCGGTCGGCTGGTGGTGAGATGATGTATTCTCTTCCCTTGTTATTTCCTTTATCATTATTATCACTGGTGGTAGCAGTAGTGATCTGTGTTATACCTTAGTTACTAAACTGTTCTTATCTCAACCCGTGGGAGTTGCATTCTTTTCGATTCTCCTCTCCGTCCCTCCGGGAGCAGGGGGAGGGCAAGAAGGGGGGAAGTGAGCGAACGAGTTACCTGACTGGGTTTAAACCACGACAGGATGATTATAAAGTTGTCAAGTGTGGCTCTGCTTCTGTAGCTTCTGAAGTCATATTATTAGGCTGTCTTTGCTCCAAATACTTACACCTGTCTGTTTGGGGTATTGGTTGGTTGGTTGGTTGGTTGGTTGGTTTTGTTTTTTTTTTTTTGTTGTTTGTTTGTTTGTTTGTTTGTTTTAAACCAGCGGAATTTCATTCTAGACTAAATATAGGGATCATTTAACCTGCCTCTTGACTTCTGCCCTTACAACTCAAAAATCCAGAACTGAGATATTTTTCACACATGTGGTGTCATTAAGTGGTTCTTTCCCTGAAAATATTATATGCCTTGTTAAAGTTTTGTATTAAGATCAATTAATTTTTTATTATGTCTAACTCTTCAGCCCTTTCCTTTTAGGAAACCCTTGAACTTTTATTTTATTTTTTTTTCTTAAATGGAAACTTGAAAGGACAATACTTAGAATTTACCATAGCAAATCTTCATGTCTTAAGCATCTAGTTCTGTGAGTTTCAGATCTGGCACCTAATAAGAGCAAACCTAGTGGGCTTTGACGGTGAATTAGAATTTATGATTAACCTAAACTCTCTTGGTTTCCTTGATGATATCATAGCAGCCTTCCAGTATATGAAGGGGGCTATAGGGATGCTGGCGAGGGACTATTCATTAGGGACTGTAGTGACAGGACAAGTGGTAATGGGATAAAACTTAAACAGGGGAAGTTTAGATTGGATATAAGGAAGAAGTTCTTCACTGTAAGGGTGGTGAGGCACTGGAATAGGTTGCCCAGGGAGGTTGTGAATGCTCCATCCCTGTCAGTGTTCAAGGCCAGGTTGGACAGAGCCTTGGCTGGCATGGTTTAGTGTGAGGTGTCCCTGCCCATGGCAGGGGGGTTGGAACTGAATGATCTTAAGGTCCTTTCCAACCCTAACTATTCTATGATTCTATGATCAGGTGAAAAGTTGATTCAGAGCAGACCCTGACACAAGTTCTAAAGTGGACCTGGAAGCTTGCTTTCTGGAGGGGTAATTTTTGTATGCTTTTCTAATGGAAACCACCACAGGTTGCAGGTGATCATTTTGTATATAACTGAGGAAAAATGAAATTAATTTGGATATGGGAAATGTTACACTGGGGAAGGATCTAAATATTTTTCCCCTCATGTTAGTCTCTGCAAGTCACACTGACCATGTGAGCTGATTATATAATTCCAGTCCAGAAGAACAATTTGCTCCATGTTCCCAGGCAGAGGGCTTGAAGGGATTGTTGGCAAGAATTGCCAAGTTTTGCTGTTGGAAGTATCTGATAGCAGGAATCCAAAGTCAGCTCATTTGACATTTCATTAGGCTCTACAGTCCACCTAAACTGGCAAGTCTCATTAACACCCAGGAGCTTCTATGCCTGCCTATGGAATTAATGAAGATCAAGAATTCCAGCTGTATAATTTTTATTCGAACTAGAGAGAAAGTTGATTCTTTTTTTCCTGGCACTTTTGGATTTGTTTCGTGGAATTAAATTAGGTCTTGAGAGCCATTCAGAGCACAAAGAAGAAAGCCAAAGAGGTTTGCAGAATCATGTATAGAATTTTAATTCCAAATTTTGCAGCATTTGTTTTGTTAGCAGCAGTCATTTCCATAGGCTTTTTACTAAGAAAAATAGTGTGCTGTCCAGCCACATGTTGAAGGTTTCCCTAAAAAAAGTCAGATGCTTGGACAAAATGAAGACAAGCTCGCGATGGTGCTTTTCCTAAACATCTGGCTGTTTAATAGCTGTAAGAAAAGATCTGCATTGCTCACTTCTAGAAAATAACCTTAACCTCCCTTAAGGGAAGGCAGCGGAGTGGACCATTTCACAGAGCTAGGAAAGCAGTGTCGCAGGGTAACCTCCACTGCCATGATTTGTAACAGTGTACACTGTATCAATCTGTCACGAGACTGGTAGCTTCAACCTTAGGAATCTGTACCTCTGCTGGTTTGGCTGGGATAGAATTAATTTTCTCCATAGTACGTAGTATGGGGATATGTTTTGTTTTGTGCTGGAAACAGCATTGATAATACAGAGATGTTTTAATTATTCCTGAGCACTGCTTACACAGGGTCAGGGCCTTTTCGTCTTCTGCCTCCTCACCAGCAAGCAGGCTACAGGTGCACAAGAAGTTGGGAGGGGTCACAGCCAGGACAGTTGACCCCAACTGACCGTGGCTATTCCATGCCAAATGACATTATGCTCAGCATACAGAGCTTGGAGAAGGTTGAGTTCTCGGGGACTGGCTGCACATTGGTTTATTTTCATTTACGTCACTTGTCTTTCTTTGGTTTTATTTCTCTTTGGTATTTTCCTTTCCGTTGCATTACTGTTGTTATTATTGTTGTTACTATTATATCTTAGCTTATTATTTAGCTTAGGTCCTGGTTGGGGTTAAACCATGACAGTCCTTTCTGCTGCCCAGTGTGGGGCTTGAAGGGTTTAGAATCATAGAATGATAGAATAGTTAGGGTTGGAAAGAACCTTAAGATCATCTAGTTCCAACCTCCCTGCTGTGGGCAGGGACACCTTATGCTAAATCGTATCACCCAAGGCCTCGTCCAGCTTGGTCTTGAACACTGCCAGGGATGGAGCATTCACAACTTCCTTGGGCAACCCATTCCAGTGCCTCACCACCCTAACAGGAAAGAATTTCCTTCTTATATCCAACCTAAACTTCCCCTGTTTAAGTTTTAACCCGTTACCCCTTGTCCTATCACTACAGTCTCTAATGAAGAGTCCCTCTCCAGCATCCCTGTAGCCCCCTTCAGATAGTGGAAGGCTGCTATGAGGTCTCCATGTGGCCTTCTCCAGGCTGAACAGCCCCAACTTCCTCAGCCTGTCTTCATAGGGGAGGTGCTCCAGTCCCCTGATCATCCTCGTGGCCCTTCTCTGGACTTGTTCCAACAGTTCTATGTCCTTTTTATGTTGAGGACACCAGAACTGCACACAATACTCCAAGTGAGGTCTCACGAGAGCAGAGTAGAGGGGCAGGATCACCTCCTTGGACCTGCTGGTCACTCTCCTTTTGATGCAGCCCAGGATACGGTTGGCTTTCTGGGCTGCAAGTGCACACTGCTGGCCCATGTTCATTTTCTCATTGACCAACACCCCCAAGTCCTTCTCCATAGGGCTGCTCTGAATCTCTTCTCTGCCCAACCTGTAGCTGTGCCTGGGATTGCTCCGACCCAGGTGTTGGACCTTGCACTTGGCATGGTTAAACTTCATGAGGTTGGCATTGTCCCACCTCACAAGCATGTTGAGGTCCCTCTGGATGGCATTCCTTCCCTCCAGCGTATCAACCGAACCACACAGCTTGGTGTTATCGGCAA